TGGAGCCGGCAGACTGTCAGCAAAGGCTCTTTCCTCACCAGCGTGTTTTCTTAGTACAAGTGCCCCACTTGTTCAAAGTACTAAATCTCTTAGGAGGTGTGGATTGCTACTTTACAGCAGCTCAGAGAAGGAAAAAACACACATGATGGAAGAGGAAAGACGAGATTCAATATTAAGACCTAGGGGGCTTTGAGTAAGGAGTTGTGCTGCCAACTCAAAGGCAAGTGGTTCGAATCCATCAGCAGGGGAAAGATAAACAATCTTCTCCCTTGCAATTTACAGCTGAAAACTTGCTGATGTCTTAACTATGCATCAGTTCTGACTCAATGGCACATAACAACAGATCAAATCTTTGGCATCTGTTCCCAGTGGATACACAGAGAAATACAGCAGCAGCCAGCAAAGCCACAGATAATCACACAAGCAAGACAAGAGCACATCCCAAGCATAGCCTCCGTAGAGTTCGCTACAGCCCTCTGAATTGCTGTCATGAGAAGGAAGGTTGGTTTGCAACCAGAAAGACCATTCTTTTTCAGGGAATGTGAGGGCAGAAACTGGGAGGCTGGAGGAAACACTACTGAGTCTGAAGAGATTATCCCCTCACAAATCTGGGTTGCACTGTCAACCCCAAGGCATGTGGTTCAAATCCACCAGCTGCTCCATGAGAGAAAGATGGACAATATCCTCTCATGCCCAAGAACCGAGGTTTGCTTGTCTGTAAAACAGGAATGACAGTATCTGTGGAGAAAGAGCAGTCTATGGCAATGGAAGACAGAGGCGCATAAACAATCCTGGATCCGCATACTGTCACTTATGTTACTTAAGCTCCCTGAAGCCTCAGAATGGTGAGAATACCCAATTTCCGAGAACTGCTGCAAAATCTGAGCCATTGGAGATCCCTGCACACTCAGAGAATCTCACCCAGCTTTCTACTGAGTGCTTCACATGATCTGTCATCTTCCTATGCCCTGAAATTTTATGAAGGTAAACTTGTTTTTATACACAAGTACGGGCACAGGAAAACTCCTGGAACATGTTGTTGTTATGTACCGTCGAGTCGCTTGCAAATCATAGCGACCCTATGTACAACAGCCCTAAACCCTGCTCTATCCTGTGCCAATCGCACTGCCTCTGACACACCCATCCCGATTACCCGTCGCTGAATCAATCCACCTCACAGAGGGTCTTCCCCTCCTGCGCTGTCCCTCCACCTTCTGGTCCTTGGAGAGGGACATCATGCTTGGGAGGGTGGAGGGACGGCGCAGGAGGGGAAGACCCTCTATGACGTGGATAGATCCAGTGACTAGGGAAATCGGGATGGATGTTCCTCTCCAAGGACCGACAGGTCCTTGCAACATTTCCAAAGTATGTCAGACAAAGCCCCAGAAACCTTGCCTCCAAGAAGTAGCCTGGTTTAACCCTCTCCAGGATGAATCTGTTTTCTTGGCAGTCCATAGTACATTCAGTACTCTTCTCCAGCATCACAGCTCAAAGGCATTAACTCTCCTTCTATCCTCCCTAGTCACTGCCCAACTCTCTGATGCATAACAAGTGATTGCAAAGACCATGGCCTGTATCAGATGCACCTTAGTCTCCAGAGACACACCGTTGCTCTTGAGTACTTTAGAGAGATCCCCAACAGCAGACTTTCCCATCACATTTTTTTTTTATTTCCTGGCTGCTGGTGTCAAGAGTGTTGACCGTGGAGCCGAGGAAACTGAAGCTGTGAACAATCTCAATCTCTTCGCCATTCATCCTGATGCTGCCAATTGGTCCAATGGTGAGAATCTTTGTCTTCTTGACATTGAGCCTCAGTCCATACTGAAGGCTGCAGTCCTTGAACCTCTGCAGCAAGCACTTCAGGTACTCCTCAGTTTCAGCAAGCAGGGAGGGTTGTGTCATCTGCATAATGGAGATTGTTAATAGATCTTCCACCAATCATGAAACATACCAAAAATAAAAACCAAACCCTCTGTCCTCAGTCTAGTCCAATTTTAGGGGAAGCCCTGTGTCAGAGCAGAACCACTTTACAGGCTCCATTGACTGTGATCTGTACAGGAGCAGACTGTGAAGCACGGCCCTGGCGGGTGGGTTCAAACCACCACTGTTGTAGGCTAGCAGGAAGCACAAACTGTACCGTTTAGGGACCTTCCAAAGATATACATCAAAATGCTAATAGTAATAATAATAAAAAAAAAGCCAATCCTAGTTATCTCCACGGTAGGAATTTTGAGTTTTATCTGCTTTTCCGTAACTTTCCACAAACATCAATTACTTAAGTGTATTTCCAGTTTGCCTTTTTATAAAATGTCAAAAATGTATTAAAATATTGTGAAAGGCAGTGTTTCTCATATGTAGGTATTTCCTACACACATCCCCTCTTTTGGAGGTGAGAGCTAAGAAAAGCTTTGCCTTCCCTGAGGCACGGCATGTTCTGGTTGGAGGGTGGGTTGGCTGGTGGGTTTTTTCCAAGTTTCTGATTTACGACTTATTTAAAACTGCATTACTGACCTTTTTAGAATATTTTCATTCTCTGAGTCAGAACCACCCAGAGCTGACCCTCCAGGGGATTTTTCAGAGATTGTAAATCACACAGGAGATTGCCATCTTCCTCCCACGGAGCAGCCGATGGCTTCCCACCACCTGCCCTCAGGTGGCAGAGCAATCCTTAGCCATCAAGCCTCGCGGCCCCATCTACATCATTAGCAATACATTATTACATTACAGTATGCGTATATATCATTTTCCAGCACATTATTTGCTGATGCCAACATTCTTAGGTGTTTACTCACATATGTTCATGGATCAAATTTATGAATAACGGAAAAATAAAAAAAATATATATCCAGCTCCTCTGGAGCAACTTAATACCAAGTTACTGGAATGTGACCTTTTCATAAATCAGAACCAGCAAGCAGTAGTCAAGAACAGAGCAGGAGAACACACTTTATGGTTCAGGATCAGGAAATCAGTGTCTCAGGGATGCATCCTGTCTTCATACCTTTCCAATCTATATGTAGGTAGATCATTCAGGAGGCTGCACTTTATGAGTGTGGCATCAGGATTGGAGGAAAATTCATCAACCACCAGTATTAGGCAGATGACACCTTTCTTGCTGAAACTGAAGGAGATCTGAAGTACATTCTCCAGAGGGTCAAGGACTGTAGTCTTCAATATGGACTGAAGCTCGGTATCAAGAAAACAGATTCTCACCACTGAATTGACAACTTCATGATGGATGAAGAGATTGAGATTGTTGCTAACTTCAGCTTGCTTGATTTGATTCCACCATCAACACTATTGGTACCAGCAAGCAAGAAATCAAGACAAATTGCATTGGGAAAGTCTGCTGTCAGGGGCCTTTCTAGAGTACTGAAGAGCAATGATATCAGTCTGGAGACTAAGGTGCACTTGATCCAGGCCATGCACAATTACTTGCTACGCATTAGAGAGTTGGACAATAACTAAGAATGATAGAAGGCCCGATGCTTTTGAGTTGTTGTGCTGGAGAAGTCCCGAACATACTTCGGACTGCTAAGACAACAATAAGGATTGTCTTGGAGAGGGTGAAACCAGGCTACTCCTTGGAAGCAAGGACTTTTAAGCTCCGTCTAACTCTGGGCATGTTGCAAGGAGGGATCAGTCCCTTGAGAGAGATATCATGCTTAGAAGGTAGAGTGTCAGTGCAGGAGAGGAAGACCCTCGATGAAATGGATTGACTCAGTGACTGGGTAAATGGGTCTGTCAGAGATTGGCTCAGGATAGGGCAGGGTTCAGAGCTAACATACACAGGGTCACTATGAGTCACAGGTGACTTGATGGCACATAACCACCACCACCACCTATTGTTAAGAATCAGCTCTCAGTTCAGCTCTCTTTGTCACTAAATTTCAGTTCATTTACTTAGGCCTTTATTCTTTGTCAATTTCATTTCTCCAATGTTGACTTTGAATTTATCTTTGTCTTAGCCTGATTTTTCTATTTATTCGTATTTTACTACTTTGCTCCGTGTTGTCAGTTTTTACTTCAGAGCAACCTACAGGGTTCCCAGGACAATAATCTTTAAGGAAATCAGTTGTCACTTCTTTCTTCCAAGGAGTGGCTAGCCTGAACCTTTCAGTTAGCAGTCGAAGAAAAGCGCTAACAGGGCTCCTGTGTGGTCAGAAGCCCCCTTCATTCCGCTATGGAATGCGGTCAGGTATTCGTATGCACACAGTGGCACCACATACCACAAACCAGAGGCTTGTGAAGGTCACTGTTTGCCCATGCATCTAACAGTGTTTTGGGTAAAACATTAAATAACAATATTATAGAAAAGCTTTAATTTTTTTAATTAAGAAGTAAAATGGAAACCTCTCCCTTAAACACAGCAAATTATAAGAAAAAAAAATTAAATCCAAGAAGTCCCACATAAGTTGTATTAACATTTAATTCTCAAAATTATACATATTTCTTTAACTATAAAAACCTCCATTCCCATCCCACCCCTCCAAACTTAGTATTATTTAAACAACAGCAAGACCAACACAGCTGGGAGCAGAGAAGACAGGCGGGCCCTCAGAGCATGTTGGGTGGCTGTCGCCCACACCCAGAGCCCTCCTGTGGTCAGCACAACAAGAACCAAGCAAAAAGCAGCTCTAGGCCAGAGGCTCAAAAAAGAAGGGGGGATTAACAAAAGCTAACAGAGGAAACTACTCTCTAGGGCAAATTTCAGGAGTCTCTGGACCCTTGAAGAAGTGACAAGTGACGTAAGACAGAACCACAGAGGCCAATTAGCAGCAGGAACTTTCTGCTACCACTCTCAATCTGGAGAAATGGAAAGAACTACAAAACATCACAAACAGGACAGGAACTGACATGAGCAACCCGAAAGAAGACTTTTATAATTTACATCCATTTACAAAGACTTCAGATGCCCATTTACTCAGGAGTGAGGACAGGCCACACGCCTACATGCAGGCAGACCTCAGTCAGGCCTCCTTGCCCTCACCCAGGTCCTATCAGGAATCATTAGGAAGCCCAAAGAGCTTCACCGTCCCTGCTTCCCGACTGCTGTCATATTTGCCATCTTTGTCATCACAGGCAAAGGCCAGCAGAGGCCTTTTGGGGTGCCAGGCCACAGTGAAGGTCGGGGACTCACACTGCACTTCCCATAGCTTGTCTCCTGGGGGAATTAAACAGAGCAATCAATTAATATGTTAATGACCAGAGTCAACATTCATTAAGCATATACTACAGTAACTCATTTCATCTACTGAATAACTCTAACCACTACACTATGATGTTCGGAAAAACAGTCGCAGCAGCAGCTGCCATTTTTAAGGACCCTTATGTATCAGATGGTTTCTACTTCTCAAATCTCTATGACAACACACCAAGGGATTCATTAATGTCAAATTCTGTTTTATAAATAAAGAGGTGGTTTAACAAAGTTAGAGCTCAGGAAGCAGCAGAGCTAGTAGATAAACTCAGTCCCTCCTGCTGCAGAGTCACAGCTCTGCTAAACCACGTGGCCTCATTGTTTTTTTTTTCTCAAACACTTTTCTGACTTGAATTATACATTAGTTTTTCCAAAGCTGTTATTCCTTTTACTCTACCTTTTTTTCAATTTCAGGATAAAGTGTAGTAAATATGGTACAATAAAATATTTACTAAAAAGAATGCAAACTCATTGCTGTGGAGTGAGAAGCAACTCACAAGATGACCCTCCATTCGGTTTCCATGGCTGTAAATCACACAGGAGACTGGCCGTCTTTCTACCTCAGAGCCTCCCGGTCTTCAGTTTAGCAGCACAACTCCCTATGGACTATGCTACCAGTTGCTACTGTGGTTATGTACCATCAAGTCACAATCAACCCATAGCTGACCCTCTAGAGGGTTTCCAGAGGCAGTAAATAACATAGGAGGCTACTGCCCACCCTTCTCCTGTGGAACAGCTGGTGAATTCAAATAGTGTGCCTTCAGACAGCAGCACAGCTCCTTACCATTTGGCCAACAGAGCACCCTCAAAATATTTAATGTGCTGTTAATGAAAATGTGCAAGACCCACTGAGTTGTAGTGAATAATATGGTGAAGTGATGTTAATACTACTACTCTACCTGTTAATACATTACAATTTAATAATCTCCTATAAAATAAGACCATGAATCCATACTCTGCTAAGTCTATCCTTAGAGAGTGGTCTGTCTCAGGACTATAAAGGTTTTGGCAGCACTCTCTCCCTCCCCACTTTCTGCACTTTTTCCAGCCTCCTTCTTGACCCATGGATTTTGGACTTCCCAGCCCCCTAACAATCACATGGGCTGATCACTTGAAATACATCTATACACATACTCCCACACACATATGTAAGTATCTCACTAGTTCTGTATCTCTGGAGAAGCCTGGCTAAGACAGTATGTCAATTATGTCTCAACAAAGCTGTTAGAATATCACATACACACACACACACACAGAGATTTTCAATAATTCTATTCAAGGTATGGTTCACTGCTACCTTTTTCATTTCTCTTTAAGCCTTTACCTCATTTGTTGTGGTATTCGTTAAAATAAAAAAACAAATTATATAGTTCAAGGAAATTGAAATAGTTATAAAAAAGCCTTCTATGTTTCCAAAATAACCATGTGGCTCCACAAGCTTTAAAATCTTGTTAATTTACTAGTAACTATATTCTCCAAGGGATACATATGGTGCAGTGCACAGTGCTGACATTACTATTTTAGACCATCAGAGTTCCACTAGATAGAGCTAAGCAATGTGTATGGTATGTCTGAAAATCTGAAAACAACTCAACTGGGATAAAACACCAGATACTGTAAGGTAGAAAAGGAAAATTACTCTTTGCTTTAATTTTTAAACACAAAAAACATAAGAGGACTCAAAATGTATCTAATATATACTCCTCCCAATTTTTTCTATTTTCAACTTTTGTTTTGCTTTTAAATATGCATACTCATGTTCACTGCAGCATTATTCATAATAGCAAAGAGATGGAAACAAACCAAGGTTCTATCAATGGACAAATGGATAAAGAAACGATCGTTTACTCACATAGTGGAGTACTATGCAACACCAAAAAATAATGAAGAATTCATTACACACTGAGGAAACTATTCTCAATACGCTAAGTAATAATATGCATCTTTGTTCAGACATTCTTCTAGGTCGTATAACCCTGGTGTATAAGCTGCCGTACAGCAGTCACCTGTGGTTGCTGTGAGGCTCAACACTGTGACACTGATGTCTCAAATGCATTAACAGTTGGTTACCCAATGTGGACAGATAGTGGGGTGGAGATCCCTGATTAAAACAAGCTTGGAAGGAGGAGTGGCATCCATTTACATAATAGCTTGCCTCCAGAAACCCTATGAACCTGGAGAGAGGATGAGGGACACCCAAACGTTGAGGACTCTCCTTCATAGGGTGACTATGAGTCGCCTGCAACTCGACGGCACTTAACAACAACAACATCAAAGAACAACATGCTAAGTAAAATAAGTCGGTCACAAGAACTATTAAGAGTACAGAATCATTATTAAAAACTAGGGAAAAGTTTAGACACAATCATTCTTGGATGAGAAGAGGGGAATAAAATCAGCTAAGTTGAATGAAAGGCTAAATATGAGGATGATTAGACACTGCAATTACATAATTATATTAATCTATTGTGATTAGTAAGGGTTCTCTGGTGGCTTAGTGATAAAGAATTTCACTGCCAATTCAAAGGCACAAGGTTCAAATCTACCACTTGCTCTGCAGGAGAAAGATGGTCAATCAACTCCCTTGTGATTTACTGCCTCTGAAAACCTACTGGATGGTCAGTTATGAGTCACTTCTGACTTAGTGCTCATGTGGCGTATTCTGTAGGGAACTGTGCTGCCACCCAAGGCTGCACTTCTCCAGCAGTCTGAATCTACCAGCAACCCACAGGAGAATAAAGGGCAATCTCCTCTCATTTGACTTACAGCCTTAGAAATCCAATGGAGAGTCGACTGCGAGTGGGTTCTGACTCCACAGCATTAAGAGAGACTGTAATTAATGTTATTAAAATGTACATGATTGATCAAGTGCAACTGCAATTACTTTCTAAAAAATGGTATGAATGACTGAATGAAAAACCAGTATGATTTGTACCTTCACTCAAATTTAAAAAAAACAACTAAAAAAGCACATCCATCTAATCTAATAATGCTCTAAAATCATAAAATACATATAAAATCAAGCGTACATCTAGATGAAGGTTAGGAATACACTATGACATCAAAAGATATTATCTTTAGATGTTGAGAAATCAGGTGATTCTTTTTTTTTCTTTCTTCTCCTGTTCTCTATTTCAAGGAAGAATTATAGCTAACATATAAGATTTTTCTAAACAATTCTTCGGAAATGCCCCTGTATATATGTGCCCTCATTACCCATGATGATGAGAACATCAACAAATTATTATCATCCTTTATGGTAACACTTGTGAAGTAAAATCTACAGAGAAGGGAGCCCTGGTGGCTTAGTTGTAACGAATTGTGTTGCCAATGCAAAAGCATGCAGTTCAAATCCACCAGCTGCCGTGTGGGCAAAAGACGGGCAATCTCCTCGTCTCATGCGATTTACTGCCCTTGAAAACCCACTGGAAGATCAGCTATGGATCAGTTCTGATTTGACAGTACACAATAGCAACAACAATGTACAGGCATAAAATAGCACTCCAAACGCCCTAATGGAGAAGACAGATACAAGATCCTTGCTAAGGTAGTGAGGATATTCGTTACCTGTCTCTACTTCAGCGATGTCAATAAAATGATCTTCCGATGCTGATGCCAGCATTTTCCCATCATGGCTGAAACTGAGTGTTCTCACAGGCCAATCCAGCCTGCAACACAGAGGAGAGGGGCAGAGAGAAGAGACATTAGAATTCTTCCAACTCTAAAGACTAACATGAAGGCACAATTTCATCTGAGATTAATGACTTTATTCAACAAAGAAAGTTCTGGTCGAGTTGCTGACCTGGAAAAGCACCGCACACACACTAACTCGTCCACATCCCAGAGGCTGACCAAAGCATCTGCACTTCCTGTGGCAAAGTACTTCCCCATGGGGTCAAACTTGATGCAAATGCAGTTGGAAGGATGGGCGTTGATGGACTGCACAGGCTTCAGCTCTGGATAACTGAGAAACAAGACACGCAGCAATCAAACTACAGAAAGACAAGTGTGGCATTAAGATAACAGATCATGAAGAACAGTAAAGTAAGACAATGAAACAAATGCCAAAAACTAGAATTCAAGAAAATTTTCCTAACATGAAAAAAGATTCAAATGACATACTAAATGAGACAAGAGATATACTAAGCATATCAACCCAGACAAACCAACTCCAAGACACACCAATAAAATTACCGGAACCGGACTTGCAATAAAAACATCCTTTAAACATTTAAGCATAAGGAGCAAATGTCTTCTAAGAAAAAAAGAAAACTTCATCAGACTATCTGGAAATACTTTATGCCAAAACAAAATATAGTAACACCTTCAAGATATACAAGGTGGTAAAAGTGAGCCAAAGATTTTTCTATTTAGCAAATTTAACAGTTAAATATAAAGAACACAAATAAGCAAAATTTAAGTATAAATAAGCAATCAGTCACAATGAACTCAGGGATTATTATTTCTATAATAATGGGAACTATATCCACAGTCTTCAATATGAATTACATTTCAACATCAAGACCACAAAAATCCTTACTACTGGACCAATATCATGACAGACGGTGAAAAGACTGAAGTGATCCAAGATTTCATTATATTTGAATCCACAACCAACAAAGTAACAATGTTGTTGTTGTTGACTGCCATCGAATTGAGGGTGACTTATAGCATCTCTATGAACAAAAGACCTAAAACCTTTTGACAACTATCATCCTTTCTCCAAGTTCATAGAGTTTCCAAAGGCATGTGGTTTAGGAAGTGGATGACACTCCTGCTTCCAAACCTGCTTCCAAAACTGAGAGCTCCAAATACTGTCCACAATCCGAATCCATTCTGTTATTTGTATCTTCATGACACAAGGTTCAACGTCATAGAAAACCCAGGTTACCTCACACAGCACAATGACAAAGAGGGATGTGCAAAGTGAAAGAATGTTCCTCCAGATATAACAACATTAGTCTCATTTAGCAGTGGTTAAGTGTTGTCGAGTTGAATATGACTCAGAGTAAGCTTTGCACGAAAGATCTGAACTCTGTTCTATAATTAACATAATTTCTGTAGATTTAGTAGTAAAGAAATCAAGACATGTTGCATGGGGAAAATATACTGTCAAGAACCTCTCTAAAGTGATAAAAAACAACAATATGAATTTAAAAACTAAGGGCACCTGATCCAAGTCATGGTCTTTTCAATTACTTCCTACACATCTGAAAATTGGACAAAGAATGAAGATTACAGAAGACAAGATGCCTTTGAATTGTATTGTTAAAAGCACTGAATATCCTACAGACTGCCAAAAGAACAAACATGGCTGTCTCACAAGTAGTACAACCAAGATACTCCTGAGAATCAAGGAGGGTGAAACTGATCTCACATACTTTGGGTATTTTGTTAGGAAGGGTCAGTATTTGCAAAAGACAGCACACGTGGGAAAGGTGGATGGTCAGAGAAAGAGAAGTCCATCAAAAAAGACAAACTGACAGTGACTATATCATGGGCGCCAGCCTGTCAGGGATGGTAAGGGTGACCCAGGAAGGGGCAGGGTTCAGATCTGTTTTTCATAGGGTCGCTGTGAGCCATAGTCAACCCAACAGCACTTAACAACAATATCCTGAGGAACTATAACTAAAGAATGAGCTTCAACTGCCAAAATCACTATAGGTTCATCAGCATAAGGGCTGAAGGTGAAGTACTGCTTGCATATTATAGTAACAACTATTTTTAACTGGGGAAAGCATATACAAAAAGTAATTCCGCTTTTATTATTTAAGGAAAATTAAGGTGGCAGTGGTGGTAATAGGTGTAGAACTATAAATCTGTGGTATCTGTGCAAATGGGATAAAAGAATTAGTAACTCTGGGATATTCTCAGGCTGTAATCCCAAGC